CCAAGAAGACTACAGAGTTAGAAACACCTCTGCTACGCTCATCACGACTCCTTGGAGGTCAGGCCTCCAGAAAAACAAAAAAGTCAAAGGCATCCTTACCGGCCTCACGTATACGATGCTCCACCCGAAACCCAAAATAGGCCAAACATTGAATTAGCCGCCAAAACAACTACATTTTCTCCATTTTATTGGCATTGTTCCATTTATTATTCATGAAAATGAACATGTTTACAATCCTTGTTTATAAAATGGAAGGATTGGTTTTACTGAGTTATATTTATTAAGATTTCTTCTCCATCCAACCCAAGCAAATTTTAATCGTGCAGGGCTAGCAGTATCTTATCTTGTTCAATATAGGCGCAATCAAATGCGGCAACATATGGATACTCGAGTTTATTTCTCTCAAGAATATAGTAGTCAAGATGCTAGCCAGGAGACGCGAATAGGCAGGTGCACAGAATTTCGGTAAAGAATAAGACTGGAACAGTATCCTTGGGTAGCGGGATAATTTCTATCCGTCGACGGAATCACTTCCTTTTGGACTTTGATAAGACTGATTTTCTTCAGCTTTATGTACCCTGGAGTAGTTGAAATCGCTCCTAGTGTGCCCTCGACAGTTAGTCGTGTGTCTAGTATTTTTTACACGCCGTTGGCCTTCATCTCGTCGGTCGTGGCCAGGACAGCATTCATCGTCAGAGGAGCTGCTCTCTGAGGGGCTTTCGTCCCAGTCCCTAGGTCTTTCATAGACACAGCAGCATTTTGACTTTTTGCGCCCGAGAAACTCGTTGTCAATAGTTCCCTCAGCCCAACGGATGCCCCCAGTAACTAGATTTTCAGGTGAGGAGGCTTCATTTGCCTGTAACTCAGGAACGGAGGCTCGGAGGAGTAGAGACTGGACGTTGAAGAGAAAAAAAAGTCGGGAAGGCCACTGATAAATCTAGGTATTCAGATAAAGATGATGGATATGAAGAAGTTAAAGGTTGATGAGTAGGATTTGTAACCTGCATAATGCAACGCTGATTTAATTGCGAAAAGTTAATAAGCGCAAAATCATGGACAGCACGGGTGGCACGCTCCGCAAGAAAGCGTCCGGTTGTAGAGGACACAGAAAAGTTTCAAAAAAGAGGATCAATATGGCCTCAGACTCGCGAATATCTTCAAATCAGATTTCGGACAAGACGACCATGTTTGTGTACGAGTCCCTGAAACGTGTTGTGATATTATCTCCGAGTATCCGAATCAGCTGCTAACGTGATCTGGTTATATTAACAATAACGGAGGCCATAAATGAAGATGGTCAAGCCTTGTGCAAGTCGCACTCATTAACAAGTTAGCCCGAAAAACAGGATAATATATTGCCCTTTTTCGCTGCTTAATTGCTTCATACTTGCCTAAGAAAGAAATACGATACGATACACAGCAATATGCATAAGTCTAAGGTGAAAAATGGGAGTAAGCATGGCATATAGGGGCGGGAGCACTAACGGTTTAAAAGCTGAGGTATGTAGTTAGCGTATTGAGAATTCCAGCAAAGCCTGCAGATAAATTTAGTAGAGGCGTTTAAATAAATAAATTTTCTACCAAGGCGGAAAATCAGCAGCCGTTCAGTGAGAAAAGTATAAGATCAAGTAATATGAGTAACGAGGTGAGCAATTTGGGTTATCAAGGGGAGTACACGAACAATTCAGCGGTGATCATTTACCGGATGGACATCCTGTTCTTCTGTATGACTGATGGAAGCTTCTTCAGCAGCACATCGCTGTGCTTCTATAGTGCTCATAACTGAAATATACCGCTACTAAAAGGACGGGGGTAGAAGTAGGAAAGTACCGCTTAAAGATGATGGTCCAAAAGGTAAACATCACAAGAGTATAGTATATATATTCTACAAACTATAATATTTTTTAATTGAAAAAATTTGTTTTTAGTATTTTGAGAGTGATTATTAGATACAAGAACTAAAAGAGGTATAGATTT